TCCAACTAAAACCGGTATGGACAATGACTATGTTTTAAAAATGCGCTTATCCAGACAAGCCCGGTTTGGACACTTAACGCGCAGAAGAAACATTTCTATTAAAGAAAAAATTATACATTTCTGTCTTTTTATGCCTACTGTATAATAGATACTAACTTGAATTTGTATTCAAATTAATTAATCAATAATTTTTGTATATTTTATTGTAATGTATAGACAAGGTTTTTAGTGACAATCATGTATTGAGTAACAATTATATGTAAAAAAATATATATATATGATATTTGGCCTCAAATCTTCTGAGGCCTGGCGCCCACCCTGCAATCTTTGGCGCCCCCCCCAAGGGGGGCGCGCCCCCCAGGTTGGGAACCACTGGCATATACGTTGGAGAGTTTTTTGAAATCATAGTTGTCCATGCAATGTGCAAACTCCTCTCTGCAGCTGCTTATTCATCCTCTTTCGGCAGCGGCTGTGAGAAAGCAATGTTATTTTTCAACTTGAATCATCTGTGCTACTGGTGCATAGTGCACTTCCAATGATTCATTAAAAAAATTCAATTTTGCAGCTTAAACACTATCTGAGTGTAATGGGAACAGGAATATTAAGCATTGCCAAATTAAAACGATCCATAACACTGATTAAAAGCCCTGCTCTGAACACACACACGCACAGGCTCACACTCAACAAAAGAACAGCATACTTTTCTTTTGTGTGGCGCTGACATATTTTTTCAAATAAAGAAATATTCACAAAGCAAAAAGCATTAGGGATCAGGCCGTCAGGGGAGATACTTAGCTTCATGTTCAAGGTCTGGTTTATATTCTTAATGGGCTTTTATTCAGAAAAGGGAAGATTTGTGTTGTTATTGCGTCACTCTGAATGTTTCTTTGCCGTTTATATATGTTGAGGTTTTCATCAGCACATTGATCTCTGTTGAACAACTTTCACTTAAACATGAGTTTCATAAAAACGCATAATTGATTTGACCTTTATATCTGCACATTCATTTTCAATTCAAACTTTTTTTTCTTTGGAGCATCTATTTTTCATTGCCAGCTGCCTGACAGAGTATCTTTTCTCCTAGTATTTTCCTTTTATAGACACTTCATTAGCTCACTGCTTAGCATTCGAGAAGTATTGTCCCATGTAGTTCCTGTTTGTATGAAAGTCTGTGAAAACATTGTGTTTCATGGTAGTTTATATATTGAAGTACAACTCTGCGTTCACTGAATTACCTCCCGTTATCTGAATGTTTGACCAAACATGTTGGACCATTAACAAAATGTACAGTTGCTTGAAAAATGAGCGAATAAATCACTTGTGAGTATGGCTCATTGAACAGATCCTTGGCAATTTGAGAAACAGTCTGTGTCCTCTCCTGTTTGCTGACTTTGATGAATTTCTGCTACATCAAGCAGCTCAAATTCAGACTGATGTGTTATTGATATATTTTATGACTTGGTACAGTAAGTGTAAGTATGATGTATTTACCACATGAAGACGCTGGTGCAGCATGTCAAGCTATGGTGTAGACTGTGAAATTAACATTAAAGAGCAACTTCCAGGTTAAAGACACCTGTGAATAAATGTGTAGGAAAATGATTAATACACTAGATTTTCAAAAAAATATACAGAAATATACACTACAGTGACATCTGGCGTCGTTTTTGTAAGAAATGTTCACTTCCGCATAAAAAAGCCTCGGCACGTGACCTCACAACCCAGTCTCACAAAAAAACGTGTAATAACTACGTTGGTCCACAACGTAGGACGTAGTATTTCTACAAAAACGCCTCTGAAATTGTAGGATCCCTACGTTTTGTTTCACCATTCATTCCAATGGCTGGCGTCTATGTCACTTGATCTTCACATATCTCCCAGCAGAAAAAAAAAACATGGCCGAACTTCGTTTTATTCTCGGTGTAAAATGCCTATTTTAAAGTTAATTTGGCCATTAAAATGCGTTTTGATGCGAAATATGAGTTGTTATTTCAGATTATGTGTGCAGTGGATGTACATGATCTTTAGTTTACTAGTTATTACGAAGATTACTTCAGGAAATTGTGTCTATACAACGTTTTCATTGTTACCAAGGTGGTTGCTAGGGACGCTGCTATCGATATTATTTCTGTTATGTTGTGTAAAATGTTGTTATCTTAATTACTACCCCCTTCCCCGTCAATGTATAGTGTTTGTCCACAGCACAAACGTATTAGTTTAACAAAATCCGCATCTAAAATGGTGCCATAGATACGTTATTTTCTCACATGTCACATCACATCTTCATAAACAAATACCGGAAACAGACCGAAAACACTTTATTCCGAGTGTGCTTGCTTTCCTTGAAGGTCATCACATTAACGCATTGATACACGGTTGGCTGCTTAAATGTATACTGTCTGTAATTCTCTATTATAGGCCTGATGAGAAGACTTCTTAGAAAACATGATGGAACGCCGCCAACACTGAAAACTGACCGTGATTATTTATTATATCAGAATTAAACAACATCTACTTTCTTCACACTTTTATTACACTCCTCTACTAGTTATTCAACACTATTCGTCTGATTTATATTGTATTCCAATTGGTTTAGATAGGCTGTATTTATCTACCATAAACGTGCACTCCTGATTATTCAGGGGCCACTAGTGTTGGTTTAAGCATGTTATTGATTTCTATATTTTTTATCTGTTCATATTCTGCACATCTTATACAATATTCTATTTCATCTTTATAAGAGTATAATACATATGATATATATATTTCAGTTAAAATAATGCTCACATAGCTTACATTGCTGGAGGTATACACAAAGTTGTTTTCATTTTGCATACTACATCCGGTCAATAACCTTATGAAAATCTTGAATCTGATAAGGAGTGCAAAATGTCATTTACTGTATATACAGTCTTATAATTTAACTATTAGTCAGAGAATACGAGTAATGAATATATTATAGCTCAGGTCCATCTATTAATTTGTCCATAGCCAAAATTGTCCATTAGACTTTGATCTTGGTGGCCATATAGTCCATAATATT